GGAGTAGGCAATAAGTACTTTAGATGGTTACAAGAAAATAATCAAGAGCATGGATGGATAAGTTCCTTAGATGGTTAGGAAAAAAAAGGATATCTCAAAAGAGTTGACTCCTAATAAAAAGAGGTTTTTAGCAGAGGTTCTTTGAAGGATATGAAACACTTTTATTTTTTCTTTTTTCTTTTTGTTTACATATAGCACAGTTATACATTTTTAGATATTCCCTTTCCTTTTATTTTTTCTTTCTTCTTTTGTAGTTTCTCGAATTCAGTTTCTTGAAGAATAATAAACAGTAACAACTTACTGGTAATAATGTATAAATTAGGAGGGTCTTAACCTAAAACTTAGTTCAGAGTAAAATATTATTCCCAAGGTTGCACTTTGAGGCTAAAGCTCTTTTGAGAATTAAAAGTTATTGATGAGTATATCAGTATGAATTTTTTAGTTTAACCATAATACAATTGCTCTATATATCTTAATCAGTTTTTTAATGATTAATAAATATACAGTACTGGCCTGATCATGGGTTTTAAAAAAAATATATATATATATAATAATACTTTATTATAAAAACTTTGTAATATACTCTTTCCGCTGATCCTCTGACTACACACAAAAAATATGTTCACAAGAAGTTTTATACTTCCTTGCTAATAAAGTCTTTATACTTTTATTAAAACAACTTGAAGCTTGTTTTTATTTATCTCTTCTACACCCTTACTTGTTAATAAACTTCTTTGAATAAAAACTTGAACCTTTAGTGGCCTGAAAAGACTCAAGTACACACTTCTTTTACTAAAGATAAGAAAGTTCTAGGAAGTAAAAGGATTAACAAGTGGAGTGTCACCTCACAAAGCTAGAAGCGACAAGAAATAGAGGTTTTGTTGATAGAAAAAGGCATATTTTCCACCTTCTCACATACTATCTTATATTCTCTTAAAGTACTTACTGGTTTTCACAGTTTTTTTGAAGGATTTTGCCTACCTCAGTTTGATCCTAAATTTTTGATAGTACAATGTCACCTAGCATCTGATTGGTTGGCATAAAACATGTTAATAGCTGAATGTAAACAAGCTTTTATTGATTACCTTATATATTCTGATGATGTTATTGGTGATTGAAAAAAAAATCAAGGATATGAACTCCTTCACTTCTCCAAATGAAGTTTAACTGAAGCAAAGAAATCATGAGATCATTAGGATAGGTACTAAATTCCCTAGGTAGTGAAAATGTGATTATTTGTTCAAGCCAAAGCTTTCAACTTCTTATTATCCCAGTCAGACAAAGTACATGAAAAAGGTTATTTCCTTATCCCAGTCAGACTGTAACACCAAAAAGCAGAGAAATGTAAAACTCTACTTTTCTCTAGAATTGAGAATACATTTTTTCAGATATTGTGTAATGATATCGTAATCAACGAGGATCCCCATACTATCTGAGACCCTCCCATCATTGCAAGGCAAAAAGATTATCGAGGAATCTAACTTTTTGGATAATAGAAGATATATACCAATAAAATTCCTTTAACTAAATGTGACTGCTGAAAGATATCGGGAGTTATACAACAAGACTGAAATGTCACATAAAAACTTGAGGTCCACCATTAGTCATTCAGTTTTATATGGGTGGATATAAAATCAAGACTGAAAGAAAGGAAGCATTAAGCAAGACACTGGATCCGAGTAGGTGATAAGTACCTTAAATGATTACAAGAAAATAATTAAGAGCATGGATGAATAAGTTCCTCAGATGGTCAAGAAGAAGAGGATATCTCAAAAGAATTGATTTCTAATGAGAAGAGGGTTCTAGCAGAAATCCTTTGAAGGACATAGATCATTTTTATTTTTTCTTTTTTTTTTTTCATTTTCATATAGCACAATTGTGCATTTTTAGATATTTCCTTTCCTTTTCTTTTTTGTAATTTCTCAAAATCAGTTCCTTGGAGGATAATAAGCAGTGACAACCTGCTGACAATGATGGATAAGTTAGGAGAATCTTCGCCCAAAACTTATTTCAGAGCAAAATATTGTTCCCAAGGTTGCACTTAGATGCTGAAGCTCATTTGAGAATTGAAAGCCATTGATGAGTGTGTCAGTATAAGTTTTTAATTTAATCATGATACAATTGCCCTATGTATCTCTATCAGTTTTTATATTGACTAATAAACACACAGTGCTGACTTGAGCACGGGTTTAAAAAAAAATAAAATAAAATAAAAACCTTGTAATATACTGTATTTAAAATCAATATTTTTTCAAAAAGATTTTTTTAAAAATTATACTTTAATAATTAATTTTAAAAAAATTTAAATAATTTTATTATTTATAATCTTAAATGTATGTAAATTTTTATTGAATTTTATTAAATAGTTATTAATTATAAATAAAGATAAAACGAAAAAACAAGGGCAAAAAATTTGTCCCAAACCTACTGTAATTCTACTTTAATTTTATCACGTGTATACTATACTTTAATCATAAAGTTTATTGCTAGGTTATCACTATAACTTTTTAATAGGAATATTTATTTGGCTGTGATAAAAAATCGTGATGATTGTCAAGTGGTCGGATACTTTCCCCGGAAGTATGTACCATGCCAATATATTATTACACATGTCAAAATTTTTTCTTTACCAATTCGCGCGACAAAGAAAAAGTTTACAGCGCACTTTAGCAAACATGACTGCGGCAAATCAGCAACTATAAATACAAAAAAAAACAAATGTATTCATTACACAGACAATGTTTAATACATGTCACTAAAAAATATTTGCATAGATATTCACATAAGAAAAGAATCATGTCAGAGAATACAGAACATAGCAAAAATAGCAATATTCAAAGAGCAACGCAAAGACAATCAGGTGACGATCGACCCAAAAGACCTCAAACTTCTCTTCCTGATGTGCAAACGCTTTCTTCCCTAACCTTGGAACCGTATGTTGATACTCACACGCATTTACATTATGTCATTGATCGTCTTCCTGAAAAGTTTGGCGTAGATAGTTATCAAGATCTCAAAGATCGTTATTGTCCACCAAACATGGAGGCTTGCATCAATGTTCTCTGCGATCCTCAATCTTTCAACACTGACCAAGTATTTCCTGGCACATACTCTGACTGGAAAGTTATGGCAGACACGGGCTTCATATACCTTACCGCCGGCGTGCATCCACACAATTCAAAAGACTACAACGATTTTGTTGAAGATCGAATGGTCGAGATACTTCAACATCCAAAAACAGTGGCGTTAGGAGAAATCGGATTAGATTATCATTACGATTTTTCACCCAGAGATGTTCAAAGAAGAATTTTCGTAAAACAAATAGAGCTAGCAAAGGCGATGGCAAAGCCAATTGTGATTCACACGCGTGAAGCGGAAAGTGACACTTGGGAGATTTTAATTAAGCATATTCCTCAAGATTGGAAAATTCATGTGCACTGTTTTACAGATTCACCGCAATTTGCGAAACGTTTACTGAACCATTTTTCAAACCTTTATATCGGAATTACTGGTGTCGTAACTTTTGGATCTGCTAGAAATACGCAAGAAGTAGTCAGATCCGTCGTGCCCTTGAACCGAATTCTTTTAGAAACTGACGCTCCGTATATGGTACCCGCCAAACTCAACAAAAACAAAAGAACAGCGGAAAAAGTTAACGTATGCCACTCGGGGATGATTCCTTTTGTGGCCCAAAGAATCTCGGAACTTATGGGAAAAGGGATCAACGAGGTGATGCAGGCTGCAAGAGAGAATGCGAGAAATATGTACGGTGTATAGTCTTTCTTTGTCAAAGTATTTAATTTAAGTGCAGCAGCGACCCGTAAAATAATGACCGCGGACTTTGTATAGACTCCTTAGATTCATTGAAAAAAAATCGTTAAATATTAATGCCGTAATGTAACAGTCAATATCTAAATTGAGAAAAAATATTTATTATGTGATATCTATTATTTCTGTGTTTTATCCGATGGTGAAGAAATATCCCAAAAAGTTTTTTTTTTTTGATTTTTACTGAACCCAGTTCCCGGTAAAAATTCGTCTTAGATAGAAACCGCTCGATCTACATGAAATTCAGTTAGCTCGGGAGAGGTTGGTAACGAGTTAATATCAAAATCCTCTCCCGACGCCTAACATGACGTGAAAGAAAGAAAAAAAGAAAGTCAAACAATAACTTGCGAAAAAAAAAAAAAAAAAAAAAAATCCATGCGGCACATACAATTAATGCAGCCCAACGTCTGTATAGTTTTTCCGCAAGGATAAAATGTCGACCTTCACCTAGTGGAACGCAGCCATCGAAATGATAGTCGCATTTCATCGCATACTTCGCTTTCAGACTTCTGTACGCACTCTCATATCGATATTTGAAACTTTCTGGTTCCTATATTTGAATCAAAAAGATGAATTAATCGTTGGTCGGAAAAGAAGAAAAAGTCAAGTGGAAAACAAAATCATAAACTTCATAATAAATTAATGCACATCGGCAGAGATTAAGTAATGGACATCCTGATATCTTCGGCGCACTTAAAAAAAGGACAATAAGTACCGGGTTTATTCTTAATAACGTGACCGTAACTTCTTAAAAAAAAAAAAAAAAAAAAAAATCACATTTTGGAGGAACATAGTCTTCATCATCGTCATCCTCGGAATCTGATCCAACGATCATAGGATCAAATTTCTCTGCTAAGACGGACTTTGATCCTGATGACTCTTCTTGTGAGTCAGTTTCGTTGCCTTCACATGAATCGTCAAGGATAAGGAAAGAATAGCAAAAGAGATTCAATTAACGCAATGAAACACATTCTCACCGTCCAATAAGTTTGACATGGTCTCATTATTCCTGCTCGCAGCTACGAATGGAATATGAATATTGCCGAGAAATTCGTGGTTTTGTTCAACGGATATAGAATTGATCGGTTTCGTTGTTGCTTCAATGACCATCGGGAATCTTATATTCGTCGATACTCCCGTAAGTCGATTCTCAGCGTTAAGTTGCTCCGCGCGCCAATTCCCTTTTCCGGTATGATGATGAGAGGTTCCAAAAGATTCCTTTTCACTCTTTAATTTAGATTCTGCCTTGATTTTCTTCAACAAATTAATGACATCGGGATGCTTGCAAACGAGTTCCCAATCCTTATTCTTATACAATTTTTCGTGATATCTCCTGAGGCCATTAATATACCACTCAATGCTTTTGGAGCTATTGGTCACCATTTTTGCACGAATGTAATTACAAAGGTTTTCCGTTGATATTGGAAAAATAGAATTGTCCGGATTTCTCCACCCATTTGACTCGGCAAGTATAACATATGATCTTGATACGGTTTCCTCATACTCTTTTTTTTTCTTTGCTTCTGATTCTGTAGACATTTCAGATGCATCTGAGCTATGACCTTGATTAGAACTCATGATAGCTTTCTGGGATAGGTATTGTGTCGATGCATCTAGAAAAGTAGAAGCCGTAGGCACCTCTGTCGCAGTATTTTCGGTTTTGATTGTGATAGGCAGGGCCGCCATAGGTATTGAAGAAGTTGTGAAACTTTGTTCCACGGGTGCTTGGCTCGGAGAATTCGTTTCATTGTGGTTCTGCATTTTTTTTTTTTTTTTTTTTCCCTTTGGATTTTAGTTCATAAAATATATAGAAAACTCACGTAGTCGCGTTGAAGGAAAATGAAGTTTGAGTGCACAGCATTTTTATTAGGTGACACCGTAAGTGATGTGTAATGTACATATGCAGATAACAATTACTGATAAAAGATCTAATTTTAAAGAGGAATCGACATCTATCAATATGCCTGATCGATATGTCTAGTTCCGAATCTTCAACAGAGGATGTTTCTTCCTCAAAAACCTCATCTGCTGCCGAAAATAGCAATACTCATTCACCTCCACAGATCAATTTGACCTTTCCACATGCTGCGCAACCGGATATTAGTTAGTATTATTTAATTTAAATTTGACGTGAGCTTGGACGTTTTTTATAATTATTTGCCTCATTTTGCCGTGCCCATAGTTCGAGCTAATCAGAAGGATGTCTATTATCAAAGTGTATTGGAAGAGCAAGTTACCAACGTTTTTCGTTTGTTTTTCGGTGGGTCTCGTAGCCGTTGAATATTATTTGCGGACAAAAATTCCGATAACATAGTAAATAACTCTTTTTCAAAAAATCTTTATTTCGAAGGCACGCGCAGACAACATTTATATCAGAAAGAAGTAAACTTGATATCCAATCTTTTATACTTTTGTCTGACAACCTTGTTGGGTAAGTTCCGAAAAAAATGTTTCATTCCCCCTTATGGATTGTGTTGACTCGTCATTTCTAGGTACCCAAACCTTGGGAGAAGAATACTGCGATATAATACAAATCTCAGAATCGATCAAAAAGACTCCACCTGTCAGGGTCAGTGAACACGCAATTTGGCGAATACCTGTTATGTGCCGCGGATCTGAACGTTTGCTTCATCGTTACACTAGAAACGCGCATTGTTAATATGGTGGCACGTGATCTTCCCTTACCTTTATGTTAGAGGGATTAACAAGATTCGCAAGAACGTTCGATCGGCTCCAAGAGTCAAACATCGATTTCAAGATCGCGAAACACCCGGGTCGCAGAATTTAAACTTGAAAGAATTTGTTAGCAATTCGATCACAAATATTTATCCATTTCTAAAAAACCACGTTCACACGTTACACCTTGCCATTTTTTATTTTTACGGTGCTTATTATGACTTATCAAAGCGGGCTACAGGAATCCGATATGTGTGTATATTTCCCAGCTTCAAATCTGCATTTTGACCCTATTTAATCGTCTTCTGTGTTCAGATATTTACTAGACAGCTTGATCCGGGAGAACGGCGCATTGGATATGAAGTCCTCGGCTTTTTGCTTGTCATTCAAATATTAATCCAAATTTACCTTTATCAAGAGAAATGCAAAAATTCTACTAATATTGATAAATATGCTGATCAAAAAAATGACGACGACGACGATGATGATATTAAGCAAATAGATTCTTTTTGTTTTTTTTATGATTTTTTTTTGTTTTCGAATTAAAATTTTGACAATTCTTTTATGAACTTAGTGACGAATTTAATTCTCTTTTATCCTCGACCTCTTTTCTTACACCACAAGAAGCTGCAGCTTACAAATGCACGCTCTGTCTCTCGGTTCGTAAAAGCACGACTGCAACTCCTTGCGGTCATTTGTTTTGCTGGACGTGTATTGTTGAATGGTGTCATAACAGGGTAAGAGATCATATTTCTAATTGCATTAAACTTTCGAGCATTAACATCTATATATATCTTTCACATCATCAAGTCTGAGTGTCCGTTGTGCAGACAACATATTTGTATCTCACATCTGCTTCCCATATATAACTATTGATAAGACGCAAATAGGATCTTGAAATTATATTTAGCAATAAATCAGAGAACTTTTTTGTGCGGTATAGTTTTACTATAAGAAATGCATGCGCCTCAGTTATTAAATTTGAACCAATGATATACGTTATTTAAAGTATTCTTAATTTATACTAAAAAAACCCCGAAAAAATTTTTTAAAAAAGGTCCGAAAATGATATATAAAGGATGACTAGAAGAAACGAATTGATCCTTTTGGGCAAAAATGCAAGATCTTACAAATATATATATATATATATATATATATATTTTAATCCATCGTCAGGTTGACATGGCTTATCTTTATCGTGTATTTAAAATATTATACAATTTCAAAGATTTTCACATGACAACTCACCCATCTTAGAAGTTTAACTTCTTTAGATGCAACTTAAGAGATGATATTTTATTCTTTTAATAACTTGAATTATCCTTTAGCTATCAAGTTCATTGCTTACAGGTCATCACTGTAAATCATCCAAAATTCTAAATGGCAGATCAAA